TTTAAAGGGTTGGTTAACTACCTCAGTAGCAGAGGATTGAACTATACCCTATCTGTACTGTACATAGAAAATCTTTGTAGATAAAATCAAGGCTTGTTTAATTTTGACAAGAGGGTAAAATATATACCAAATGTAACATTCTAAGTTGCCTTTAATTTCAGAGGCTTTGTAAAAGATTCCCTCCTGTCCATCATAACAGGCCTTGTTTTTGTCGTATTTTGTGGCTGAAAAAGCAGCCTTGCTTCTTCAGATATTGTAGTTATTTGGATGTATAATAGTTTAGCAAGATGTTACTTTTTGTAAGACATCAAATGTTAAAAAAGTGCATCAGCAACTTGTACTAAATACTGCAGTGTCCCTTTATAAAAGGTCAGACTAAAACTGACAGCTGTACAGTGAAGCCTGACATTTGGATATTTTGAAGTTTTTCATAAATCATAGAAAATAGTATATGGCTGTAGTTTAGCTTTTTAGGTAAAGGTATGTTTTCTCATTAGTGCATTTCTTACTGCTGATTGCTGTAAAACCAAGCAGATCAGCTTTCCATTTTCTCTTTATGCAGATCATGATAATCTGTAGAGTAGAATACAATCATTTGTGCTATGTTTTAATTTTCTAAAGCACCTTGATGACAGTGAGTGTTAAGTGGTGAAGCATCCTCTATTGAATCACTCTTCCAAAAAGTTCTATCAAGTCCCAACTATGCATAGGTAAGATACACTATGATCTAATACGGACTTCACAGAAAGAGCTTTTGTTATACCTTCCCCAAAGGGATACTGCAGTTGTTACTTACCTGTAGGCACCACAATAAGATCTGAGACACCGAATTAAGGTTTTATACACACCAGTTCCCCAGTAAATGAAAAAAAATTAAAAAAATAGATGTCATATGTTAAATTGCTCATTGCAAACAATCATTTTGCATTCCTGCAAATAAAATTGTTTTATACTGTAAGCTGGAGGCAAGTGTAACTTATTTTTGTAATAAAGTTTTTATTTTTTTTATGTGTCATTAATATAAATGTGTGTTAGTGCAGAAATCTTCTGGTTTAAAAACTCGTGCGCACACATTTCAGTATGTTTACTTGTATTTACATTTTTTAGAATAGTCATTTCCAGTAGTCTGTCTCTCACATTAATTGAATTTTTGTTATATTAATAAACCATTTTAGTATATTGTATGTCAATTACTGGGATAGCTGGGACATAAAGTGTAATTTAAAATTTGTCAAGTATTCATGGGAATATGTAAATGTGCCTTGCTAGTTAAGAGAAAAACTAAGTGGCTGATGGTAAAAAGTCATTGCTTAATGAAACACCTATTGCCACAGTTTCATATGCTGCCCATGGTAAAGTTCTACTTTCCATATTTGAATAAGAAATATGAGTGTTGCATCAGCTTCTAAAATCTTAAACTTGATAGGATGAGGTTTATGGAATTTAGGTTTGCTAAATGTAGCCTTATATTTTGATTTCATTGTAATCCTTGGTATTGGCAATCCCAGTGCCAAGGAGGTTGAAATGCTCCCTTCAATGAGGTTGTAGTGCCAACTGGCATCTTTACTGTCATGGTTTAATGAAGAGCACTGTCAAGGTGTTCATGCCAAATCTGACCTGATTCTTTATAGGAATTTTAGAAAGAGGGAATGCCATCTTAACTTGGATCTTCCAAATCCCTCCCATTGCTGAAAAACAAACTTCTTAAAAGTTTTCAAGCATAACTGATTTGGGGGAGGGGGGAGTAAATGATTATTTATTCAGAGCAAATATTGATGCAGATGAAAAATGAAAATTTACAATAATATGGAAGCTGAAATTGTAATCACATGTCCGCAAGAGAAGCTGGGATATAAGATACTTGTCAAAATGGACTGGAATTGACTTTATCTGTAGAGTTTGTAAGCAATGGTGAGTAATAAGTAACAGAATCTTGACAGTGTTCTCGAATAATTATGAATTCAAGCCATTCTGACTTTTACAATTAAACATTATTTGCACTGTTCTGATATTGGTGCAGTTTTTTTAACAGTATAATGGTAAAGCTACAGTAAAATGCATGTGGAAACTTGTATTGTGGAAAAATTGATCTTTTGAGAGAAAATGTTAATTTTGAAAATTTTAAAGTTGAATATGTAAAGGAAATGAGATTTCACTAATGGATAAATAGATATATGATTTTAGATAACACTGAATTCATCATGACAGATGTCAATGTTGTAGACCACATCAACATTTATTGAAGTTATCAAGATACGATGCTTACGAAATATCACACATCCTGTTGTCATATTAAGATAGATGTTTACTATTGTATTACAGCAGGAATTTTGGAGGTATATAATTCTGTGTTAGCTTATATATTAATGAAGGTATTTGTTCCAGAATTGAGTAGCTTATGCAAGTTACTGTTGGCAGCTTATAGAAGACCAAGGATTGGAACTAATTTATTTTAATGAAAAATAGTATTTCTTGGTATCCATGTTTAAAACAATTATTCTGGACTTTTACAGTCTACATTACATAGCATATAGCGGAACTAAAGTGAACTTGATAAGCAACTATGTTTGCAAACATTAGTCAATATAAGAAGTGATGAGTAAACTAAATGTGATTGTTTATACTCCAACAAGTACTCTTATATCACATGTAGTATATAACTGAGTTTGGCTAAAATGGAAAAATGTCTGGAAATCCCAGGGCTTATTAACTAGATGGGAGCTTTAAAAAATCCTGAAAGAAGGCAATTGCAACTATTTGAATAGTTTGCTATGTATTGGCATGATCATCAAAATTAAACACAATTTAAGACAGTCTTTATAGAATATTCTGACAAGAAATCATTAACTGAGAAGTATCAACTACATAAAGGTATCCTGAAATTCTCTTTGCCCTTTGTTATACAAGATGACTTTTAAAGAAAACTGTAAAAAAGTATGCATATATTTTTGATAGTCCTTGGTAGAAAATTACATTCTATGAAGTAAATAGGAGGGGTGATGTTAAGCATACTTTATTACAGTAAAAGGTGAAAAAAAATCACACATTGGAAATTAAACTGATGATTCCAAAAAAGGATATTCCTTAAAAACGAAATAGTTGTAAATTGCTTAATATTGTACAATTGACTTTTGAGATTAGCATCAGTATTTGCTTATAAGTTAAATATGAATGACTAACTGGATGCTACATTAATCAAGCAGTGAGTTTTGTTGGATTTAATTGCTGCAAAAGAAACAAACCTGTGACATTGTATGTACTATAGTTGTGTTATGCCACAGTATTCCAGTGAAAAAAATTACACGTTAATACTTTTTAGAACAAAATTTCAATATGTTATATGAAGTGTATACTGCTGCTCCCCCAAAAAAGACTTGGAATTCTAGGAATAGTACATGCGTTCAAACACTTAGAAACATAAACAATCAATGTCATACGTATTTAATTCTAATATTCACACATCCTTCTAGAATAGGGATATGTCTGCTATTCTGAAGAAGTGCAAAAACAATGCAGGTAAGTAGGTAATAACATTTCCGTATGTGTGAATTAAAACAGGTGAGATAAAATTCTTAAATGGAAGGAATTCCTCCATTTTATCCCATCTGCAGCCAATGATGGGAAGAAGGAAAATTTGACAGTATTCTGCCTAGCACACTAACTCACATTCAATTTGTCCATGAATTCACAGATACAGGGATTGGGGGGAAAATGATGCAAGTTGCCCTTTGAAATGTTCTCACCCCAATAGTGAGGTGAGCTCCCTTTCCTGGCCATTTGGAAAGGTCTGTAGGCCTGGCTGTGCTGCCCACAGAGGACCACATAATTGTGGAGACGTAAAAACATGCTAATTACATATAGCTTTTGTGTTTTTATGCTTACATATGCACCACCCAGAAATGTTCTGTAAGGGGGATTGGCAATTTCTAAATGTGATCTATATAGGTTAGGTTAGCCTAGGAATAGAAAAACCATTCACAGAATATTAATATACAAGGACTCTTACCTTGAATGCATGAACGCAGAACGTAACTGCTTTAATAATCTACTGTACTCCAAATGAAATCATGAATTCTATGCCAGTACAAAGCACTTATTTGTAGTGGGATTACAGGCTGGGACACGGTACATGAGAAAATAACGTACAGACATTTGGATGGTTGTGTCAAGAATAACCAGACTTGCATTAGGTTTTTTTAAAGACTATTCAAATGAAATTCATATTTGCTATTCATATTAGCAAAATGGAGTGCCCCATTTTGTATAATTTGCATTTATACTTAGTAGTTCAATTCTGAAACTACTTTTAATATTTGTTGGATATTGACTTTCATTGTAAGCTAAAGTACAAAATGTTTATGCTTTGTTAAAATAACCTATTGAATTTTCTGGGGGAAAAATGTCTAAATATAAGGAAACTGCAGTACTTTAAATTAGTTTTGGTTTTAAACATCCCAACTCATGGGTTAGATTGTGGGAATATGGCATGATAATGAGTACTACACTTTCTGTTCATGCTTTAAAAGCTTTAAAAGATTTTTTTTAAATTTATACTTAATCAACTAGGTCACACTTCCATACATAGCAAGCCAAATTAGGTTTATCAAAGAAGCTGTTTTTCCTGTGACTAAATTATGTGACTTGACTTGTACAATAATAGTAGTTACCATGATGGATGCCAACATTAAAGGAATACATTCCAGTATAAGTATGTGACATAAAACCATCTTTCAATATAAGGCAATTACTTAAATTTAAAACACAAAACTCAAAAAGTTTCAGACACATTTTAATACCTCAACGAAGGAGTGTTACACTTTTAGCATTAATAGCTAAAGACTTTAAATAGAGTTCCCCATAGAGAAGGCTGGGTTCCCTGTTCTCATGCATCCAATTTTATAGGATAAGGGGCATGACAGAAATGTCCCAAAATTTCCACTTGGGCTAAGAAAATATTTTAAATATTTCAAACCCTTGGAAATACTTTTGCCAAGTATCTATTACAGTGTCTGACAATATTATTTCTACTTGGCTCAGCTGAGAGGTTTCTAGAGTATAATATATATCATTGTGAGGGAAGAGCCCTGGGGTGTGCATGATAAAACTGCCTTAAAATGCAACACATCCAATACACAGGCTTGTAGCCAGCTTTAAATTGATCTAGAACAGCGACTCAGTAAAATCAAACTGAATTGGTCAGTAAACTCATATAAGCACTTTATCAAGAAGCGTTAATTAGTAGCCAAGCCTGCTCCGTGTCCTCGATAACCTAATTAAGGAGCCACATAGGAGTATATCGCATTAGGGGAGGAGGTGCATACAATTTATCTCTGGTGTCGTCCCGCTGGTTTTGCATCGGAAGTGATGAACTCCTGGGATTGCTGAAGTGGTACATAGCTCCCAGGGTCCCTCAATATTGGACATACCAGCTGCAAAGGAACGAATATTGGAATTTATATTCAACGAGGTCTGCTTCCCAAGTTTACAACCACCGCTGAAAAACCATATTTCTGCCTTCTACCGCTATGAATATGTGGGTAGGATACGCTGCAATCAAGCCCAGGCATCTCGAAGGAAGAAAAATGATTTTTGGGGGTGGGGTGGAAGAGAGGAGGACTTTCATCCAACAGAACGCGAACTATTCCGGCGTTCCGGGCATCTGAGCAACGATCAACGCCGCCATTTTAATGGGCTTTATTTCCTCCAGGCTAAAGGGCAACCAAAAGAGTCACGGTAAGGGCGGAAGTGCCTCCTCATCCTGCCCCTTGTTCGGTCGAGAGCTTTTGCGACTCGAGAGATCGCGAGAAGAAATCAAAAGAAAAGAAAGAGCTCCGCTCCTTTCAAGCAGCGGCTGTATTGGCACCAACTAAGGGAACCCGGGTGGGAAAGTGAGCAAGAACGGCTTCAGGGGCCGGCGAGGATTATCTTCCGCCTTGGAGAAGCGACGCCATTGGTCTAGCCCTCCGCCACGTGATGCGAAGGGCTCGAGTGTTGGAAACCGGAAGGCAGGGGCTTTCGGTCCCTTCAAGTGTGCTACGGAGTGCCTGGGGATCCTCGGGTCAAGCTGAAGCCGGGGGCGCAGTCTCCCCCCATCCTCCAGGATGAGGTGGGCACGCGCGGCCGTGGAGAGGCTGTGCCAGCGCGCGCGCCGGGTGGACGTCCTGCGCGAGACCTGCCGCCAGTACCCTTTGTTTTGCTGTATCCTTTTGGGGTTCAGTGTGGCAACGCTCCTGCTCAGCCGGTAAGGGGAGAAGCCCGCCTGGGTCCGGGTCCGCGTCTGGTGCTGGCCGATCTGAGGGAGATGGCTTGGACTTCGTTACATGTGCTGCTGGGTGACGGGGCGATGGAGGAGGATATAACTCGAGAAGAAAAATGATACTTTTTGATAGGATACGAAGAAGGGGAAGATGTGATGCTTTCGTTTAAAAAAAAAAACAGGAAAAGAGGGGACTGCCTTTTGATATGACTGGGATTCCTCGGTAATCATATCAGTTACCCAGTGGTTCTCAAAATATGTAGTGCTGCCATCTCTTAAAAGTCAGTGGATTTGTGTGACAGCCCCCGCCCCTCCTCCAAGGAAATAATTTCATTGGGTTGGAAAAGAAAGATGTGTGTTACTTTTTATAAGCTTTATTCCCACCACCACCACCACAAGAGTTATCCAATGTTGTGGCACTGTAGCTATAGGACTTGCTCTGGCAAATGGGGAATAAAGCTCAGAACTAGTTTTGGCCATGTCCTACTTTACTGTTACAGCCATTCAGTTTACAGTACTATAGGTGTAACACACAAGCATAGCACACATTGGATTCACCAACCCCAGTCAATTATCCAACTTTGCTAATTTCTTACCATATGTTTATGCCCCTCCTTTTAGCATGATTCAGGCAGGTAGAAGGCATAAACATAAATGAACATGTATGAATGTTGCTTGGTTTTTTTTGTTTTGTTCTTTTTAAATGTGATTCCCACAGGGCTCTGGCTCATCCATTAAGAATCCCTGGTCCAGTAAGGATTGGATGCTGATATGATTAGATTTCAGGTTATGGAAGTAGCTGGATTGTTTTTCCTTCCCACAGCCATTCAGTTTACAGTACTATAGGTGTAATACACAAGCATAGCACACATTGGATTCACCAACCCGAGTCAATTATCCAATTTTGCTAATTTCTTACCATATGTTTACGCCCCTCCTTTTAGCATGATTCAGGCAGGTTGAAGGCATAAACATAAATGAACATGTATGAATGTTTTTCTTCTTACCAACTTTCTAAAGTAGTCTTGCTGATTTCACTTTTTTTGTGAAATCTCTGTACATAATCCACTTGTAAACAAGAACATTTTATTGTGCAGGAAGGATTTATAATTGTTCCAATATAAACAAGTCTGGTTTTCTTTTGAGTTCAGCTTCAAAACTTCCTTTTAGGAAAGAAAGGATGGTATGAATTGTTCAGAGATCTAAGGAAGTTGGCTAGAACAATGGATATCAACTCCTTCTCCACTAGTGAATTTTAATATTTATTTACAGTATAGATGTTTTAGAAAACTTAATAGGAGTTATAGTTTATCACATCTGTTAATGCCAGGTTGAGGAAATCTTATAAGCTGTGGTCATACTATATGCAAAACAAAACAGAATTCAGATAACAAGTACATTGTCAGAATCTGGAAAGGACCGGTTAAAAAATACTATCAGAGTTGTGAGTCTTGGAAGCATAGCTAAAATATTTTTTTTTTAAGTAAACTGCTGTTCTGATTTTAATTGTAAAGACATAATCGCCTCCAAGGCAAGGTGAAACAGTGCAATTGTGTTTACACAATTAGCAAAAAAAAGTCTGGTTAACAAATGAGTGCGTCCTCCCATTTTCCCTTGTTATAAATTGCTTTATTTTCTGAACCTAGAACAAGAACCGCTTTAGAATTATAGAAATAGGGGTATATAACCAGGGTTTATTGTGCATTTGTATATTTTTTTCTTTAAAATATTAATAAAACATTCTGGGAATTGGCCTATTGGGTCTGAGTATGCTATTTCTGAAGTATATACCATGCAGGATGACTGTTTTGATAGGTATGTAATTATACATTGGGCATGTAGGTATTAAATATAATATTCCGAAGTTGGAGGCAGAGCTATGTTATTTTGCGCTGTCTGTTGGATTGTAATTTTTCCCTTTACTTTTGAGGTATCGTCACATCTTAATGATCTTCTGGTCTTTTGTGGCGGGATTTGTAACATTCTATTGTTACTTAGGACCAGATACCCTCTTACCAAATATTCTGTTTACAATAAAACAAAAATCCAAGGTAATGTATAATTTTGTCAGTGTACTTTTGATGTTTTTTTTTTATGGACAGTAGTGAAATATTGCTTGTGTTACCTGCAGGCTTCAGCATTTTTAAATGTTACATGAGAAGCTGGCATTTTAGAGCTATTCATTGCTAATTACACTTAGTTGCTGTGAAGCAAATTAAATGTATACTTGATCTAAAAGGAAGAATAAAGTTCTAGCAATAAACTTGTCATTGTGTTAAGGTTGTATTAAATAAACTTATTCTTTTACTTTTCTTTTGCACCCTTATATATTTTGCACCCGTATATATTTTGAAAGATATAACAAATTTGTTGTTTGACAAATTTGGATTCTATATGTAGAGATTTATAGTGGGAACAGGAAATCCATTTTGTCATTGTGGATTAATAAAGTTAGTTTCATTTCACCCATACGTTTAATGGCATTTTTAAAAAGTTTTTCTTCTTTCACCATTCTCAGAAATCTATTGTAAGACTATTCTTTAATCAATGAAATTACTTGATAGATTTTTATTGACTTACTGGGTAGGATGTATTCACGACATATAAAGAATTATTTTGTCGAGTTCACTGCATAAATGCTGAATATATTACCTAGTAGTGAACTAATATTTAGGAATCATGGTTAGGAAGACATTGTTCATCCTTATTTTGCTTTCTATACCCTGTATCCCCGAAAATAAAACCTCCCCGTATAATAAGCCCAATCGGGCTTTTGGGCGCATGCACTAAAATAAGCCCTCCCCTGAAAATAAGCCCTCCTTGAAAATATTGCAACACAGCAGCAGCCATGAGGTGACCACCCTCGCCGCCTCCTGCACCTAAAAAATAATAAGACCTCCCCGAAAATAAGGCCAAGTGCTTATTTCAGGGGTCAAAAGAAAATAAGATCCTGTCTTATTTTCGGGAAAACACGGTATTTTTAGATCATACAAAATTGCTATGAAACATGCATATTAAAAAAAGCACAGAGTCTTCAGAAGTAGGCGTTATGAGGGTAGTGCTAGCAAGCTTATGATACTGGAGAAGTGACTTGAAGTTGTAATGAAAGAAGGAGATTCTAAGGCAATTTGTATTTTTCTACTTACAGGTATCCCCGACTTACTACTATAAATGAGCCCCAAAATTTATGTTGCTAAGCAAGACAGCTGTAAAGGGACGGGGGATTTTCCCATTGGAAAACCTTTCTTGCCGCAATTGTTAATTGATATTAACTGCAGTAAAGTTAATATGGTTGTTAAATGAATCTGGCTTCTTTCATTGACTTTGCTTGTGAGAAGGTCTCGAGGTCATCACATGATCACACTGTGATCGTCATAAATGGTTCCACCACAAAACCGTGGTAGACAAAAGCGCGGTCGACGAAAGCGCGTATGTGACGTCATCACAGCGCAACGAAAAAGATCGAAAAATTGAAATAAAAATTAAATTACAGCAAGCCGATTCACATAAAGGTAAGGGTTAGGTTTAGGTTAAGGGTTAGGGTTAGGTTTTTCGTTAGGTTAAGGGTTAGGTTTAGGGTTGGGGTTGGGGTTAGGTTAAGGGTTAGGGTTAGGTTTTTCGTTAGGTTAAGGGTTAGGTTTAGGGTTGGGGTTGGGGTTAGGTTAAGGGTTATATTTAGGTTTTTCGTTAGGTTAAGGGTTAGGTTTAGGGTTGGGGTTGGGGTTAGGTTAAGGGTTATATTTA